TTAGGACAAAAAATCATTTGGAGCTTGCTTAACCGAAAATCAAACCAACCACAGCCAATCAGAACAGGACACATCACCCAGACCAAAACTGGATGGCTTCATCCAGCCAAATCGGTCGGATGCACTCATCCAGCATATTGCGAAAATATTCTCTATTCTGGGCCGCCCCATACACCATGCCATCCAACCAAACACCACAGAAAATCAGGCGGCCATCTCCCATCCAGGCTCATCCACCCAACCAAAATTACTATATACACACTAACTAAAATACCCCATGGGTTCATAAGGATGAGCTAATATCACATTATACTATCAATTGGACATACAACTAATTGTTAATTGCCAATACTAAATGTGGATCATGAATGACTCTATCAGCAACGAATGGATGGTATCCTTGAGATTGCGGCAATTTGTGAAGTTGTCCTCTTGGTTGTACATGAATTCCATCGTCCTTGTCGAAGTTGAATATCCTCTCCAATAGGTGCTTTGAATAGACATTGTTAATTTGGATTCAACCACTCGCTGGTAAAATCTTTCAGTATGTTCATCTTCTCACGTGCCACTTTAATTGAGTCATTGTGCTCCTTCATGTACCTAGTGTCCTATTGCTCACCTAGTGTTCAGCAGGCCGCTCGCCTCCGTCACGGATAGCCCGATTGAGATGTCCGGTTTTGTACTTGTCGATCATGCAAAACAATGTAACATTTATCACGAGTTTAGGCCTATAGAACTAAATATACATTTTTAAGTTAAATGGTTGTTGAAGATCTTCAGGTTCTTAAATTGTTTCACTATGTGCTCGTAGTAAGCGCATAGTAATGCTTAATGCTTGGTCTTCTTAATAGTAAGCCCTCGCATCTGCTGAGTGCTGACCATGGAAAAAAATACCAGAACCAAGAAGATATGACATATGCAATACAACATTTATAATCATTTATTATATAGGATCTGAATTAATTTTCAGTAATAATACTCCCTCCGTCCCATAACATAAGGGATTTTGAGTTTTTCTTGTAACGTTTGACAACTCGTCTTATTCAAAATTTTTTGAAATTATTATTTATTTTATTTGTGACTAACTTTATTATCTACAGTACTTTAAGCACAACTTTTCATTTTTTATATTTGCAAAAAAAAATTGAATAAGATGAGTGGTCAAACGTTGTAAGCAAAAACTGAAAATCTCTTATGTTATGGGACGGAGGGAGTATATATTAAGGTACTACTTAGAAAGTGGAATGCAAAACTTCTACTTGCTTTTGAAATCAATGAGCACTGTACATTTGAGTGTAACTCGAATATTACCGTTTTTTTTAGAAAGAATGTATCAATATCAAAGTAGCAGTTTGTATATTGTAGATAGTTTTGGGTGAAATTACATGCCTATATCAGGCCTTTTGACATAATATAGAAGTGAATTCGAAATTTTAGTAATTGCTTAGCTTCTTCTTATTGACTACTCAAGTTTTATGAGATCAGAGAAACAGGAAAGGCGTCGTCTTTGAACCTATGTTTGCACGTCAAGACAAACATCCTATGCGTACCACAGCATGGCCACCCCAGAGCACGCCGCCCCCCCCCCCCTGGGGTGGTGGGGCCTCCCGTCCCAAACCCCAGGCATCCTCAGGCCTGAGGCCTGGCCCAGCACGAAGGCGAACAAACGCATTGTGCGCGAAAGCCACAAGCAGAAGGCGAATAGAACACGATGCCGCGATTGCCACCGCCCACGTCTTCTGATCTTCTCCTCACGGCGCCGAATTCGCGCGGCGCAACAGCGCAAGGCCACGCATCGGAGCGCCGGCGGCCGGCTTCCCATTTTCCTTCCACTACTCCGCACAACGGTCGATGGCAGTAGGGCACGAGGTGCAGCATGACTCTGCGATCGCCTAGCGCCGCTGCTGCTGCCGCTGCCGCTGCCGTCTACCGCCTCTTATTTCAGGTATTACTATTAGCTAGGATCCTATGCACTTGTGCACTTACACATGGCAGCTGGATTAGCTTCGCCTGCTTCCGTTATGTATAGTGAATTTTTTGTGGAAATAATATTATTTTAATAGAAAATCACAAAATTATAGGTCGGTTAGACAAAATCGTAAGTTTAGCACCCTGTCGAACTGGGGCAGTTCAAAAGGGTACCTGTCAAACTGGGGCAGTTCGATAGGGCAGTTCGACAGGTAATAAAATAACTTAAAAAAAAGAAAAAACACTGTAGCGACAATGTGTGGTACCCACCTGTTCATGAACGAGATGGTGGATGTTCGGTAAAACCATATCAACGATCAGACGAGCTCGTCATTTAACAGCGGGTAAATTAGAACCATGCCATTATAATTTAGCTAAGTTTGAGATATGTCATCGGTATCTCAATAACATGTAGGACCCACATGAGTCAATGACATGTGGGTCAGAATAGCATATCTTAAATTTTATAAAATTATAATGACATGATTCCAATTTTCCCTTTAACAGCAGGTACTTGCCCTTCCCCTGCGTCGTGCCAGTGCTACACGGAGGCACACCACGAGCATGAGCTTGAGCAAGCTGATCACCGGAGGCCATAGGCTTTGCTACTACCACCAATTAACCAACCAACCCTTTGGAGACCGTGGTGATGGGCTTGGCGGTGAGGATGGGGGAGGTATCGTCGCCGACGATGTGCTGTAGGGATCAAGCAATCGAGGTCGGGGTCCGCTGCGGACATCCACCGTCGTGGTCGCGCTCCAAACGCTCGAGCTGGTGTGGCGGGAGCTGTGCTCGGACATCCACCACGGCGCCGTGTCGCCGGTGCGGTGACCATGCCGTCCGTCCGATAAGCCGTGGGTTCCCGCCTCACCGTGCCACAACCCACCCTCGGCGACATGTTGAAGCGCAGGATGATTCCGTCGTCGGCTCTGCCAGCCACCGCGCGCGCCAGTCGCTACCCATCTCCTCACTGTGCACTCTTCTCGAGAGATGGGGAAGAGAGAACGAAGAGGGAGAGGCATAGGATGGTTTAGATGGCTATAAAATCCGAGGCCTGACGCCCAGCCCATGAACGGCCATTTGGCCTAGCCCAAGCACGGCATGACACGATTGGTGTTGGGCCCGTGCTTGGGCCGATGCCTTGGCAGGGTGGGCTGGCCCGGCACGGCATGGCACGGTCGAAGAGAAATAGTTGAGGGACCCAAAATAGACTTAAATCAAATATATAAGGCATGACCTAAAGAGAGGGATACAAAATAGACTTATTCTAGCCACATGAGACACAACATAAAGAGATGAGGATGAAAAAATAGACTTATTATATGGAGGAGCACGATGGACTATTGTGCCTTCGGGCCGGCCCAGCGCGGCACGCACAGTCGAGAAAATAGTTGAGGGGTCCAAAATAGACTCAAATCTAATATATAAGGCATTGCCTAAAGACAGGGATACAAAATAGACTTATTCCAGCCACATAAGACACAATATAAAGAGATGAGGACGGAAAAATAGACTTATTATATGGAGAAGCATGATGGACTATCGTGCCTTCGGGCCGGCCCGGTACGACCCGAGACTTATTGGGTCGTGCGTGCAGCCCATGTGCAGGCACGGCCTAGCCCGACATGTAGGTCGAGTCGTGCTAGCCCGACTAGCCTCGGCCCAGGATGAAGAATAGATGGCCCGCTGACATGTGAGGTCCACGTGGGTCACACTTGTTATGTCAGCTAAAACTGGTCACAATATTTTCGAGAGATCAAAGTTAATATGGTTCTGTGAGTTAAGGGATGTCACAATACCAGCTATTCATGATAGAAATACCAGCATGACAAATTTCAGACTGAAGGACAAATTGAGAGAACTAAAGTGAACTTATTCCAAAATGAAAAGCAGAAGCAATGGGTGGGCCGGAAAAATGGCGAACCGTGTGATCGCACGCCACGTCGGCCAGCCGTACCTTGTACCGTGAGGCCTGCTGCGCGAGTACTATTGGGCTGCATCCTGGGCTTCCGCCTGTTTCAGTGAGGCGGCCCGCGGCCTACTGCCATAAGCTTCTTTTCCTTCTAATGCTACAAAAGTGTGCATGGAGTTTGAAGAAACGATTTTGCTAAATATTTATTGACAAATTTTTCTCCAAAAATTTAACAGATGTAATTACAGTACAATCGTAGTGTATTACACTGTAACTTGCATGTAATTACACTGTAACTATAGTGTAACTTGTATCTAACTTTCAAAAATCTCTCCGTAACATGTTATTTCGGTAAAATGGAGGTCGTGGGAACAAATTCTTTCATATATGTGTGTGCTATGATTTGTTTTCTTCCTCACCAAAACAAATCTTGTAATAGATCTAACGATTTAAAATTATGTGAAACTTACATATAAGTTATACTGTAGTTACATGCAAGTTACAGTATAATTATATATAAGTTACAGTGTAATTACACTATGATTGTACTATAATTATATCTGTCAAATTTTTGAGGAAAAATTTGTTTTGAGGAAAAATTTGTCGACAAATGTACAGGCAGTCCCACAAGAACAGCTGGGTTACCTTATAGGAACAGCTGCCCAAACATGGAGCGTTTCCACCAAAAATGGGATAGCTGAATTCAACATGACCCACAATTCATGAACTGGGTCATGTTTTTTTCATGGCACACTCGAACGAAGACACGAAATTGACAACCAAATCAAATTAGTCTGACTTCAATCCAATATCAGTCAGGACAAGACTCAAACAACTTCTGCCCCTCAATTCGGAGAAAATCAGTTCAAATCAAACCGGAAATTTCAACATCAGATTTTTGACAAAATCATCAAAAGGATGGCATAAACACAGCCCAATCCTAACAAAACTACAATGGAGCGCAAAATAACAGATGGCCATGGCAGGGATTGATAACATAACAGATGCAGAGTAACTAATCCCTGTCCAATGTTAAGAAAACATTTAACAGATCGCTCAAAACACCCAAGCAAATAGGATGTTAAGCGCAACAAGAACTCAGTGGTCAATGCTCAGATGATGACGATTCAAAGTTTTAGTTTCAGTCTGTTCCTCGTTTCTTCAACCACTCAAGTGCCAAACACAGCAAGATCATCGCCGGGATTACATCTGAGATAAATAGCCAAAAATTTCACCATATTCACAGCCATCAATCAGGCCACCAAAACAAACCAAGAACTAAGCAATTTTTTTCTTGTTTCTTCCTACTGCTTAACGCAACAACACACCTTGGTCCAAAATAAACAGCTAAATATCCTACTAGTGCATAAGACAAGATGACGAATGCAGGCGGCGGCGGCGGCGGAGGAGGAGGAAGGGGGCTCAGTTGTCGTCGTCGTCGGCGTGGGACGCCTTGGATGACCCGGCCTTCTTGGGGAGGAGGTGCTGGTGGATGTTGGGCATGACGCCGCCGCTGGCGATGGTGGCGCCGCCGAGCAGCTTGGTGAGCTCCTCGTCGTTGCGCACCGCGAGCTGGATGTGGCGCGGCACAATGCGGGTCTTCTTGTTGTCCCTCGCCGCGTTCCCGGCGAGCTCCAGCACCTGACGAACACCACCACAAGGCCAAATTTAATCTAGTGTATCACAAATTCGATCCCCACAAGAGACCCAATCCCCACGGATTCGCGGCAATATCGCATATCGAACGGATCCAAGAACACGGAGACAATGGCGACCTAGATCCCCAAATCAATCGCCATCAAATCAGATCCAATCCGAGAACGGGTGGGTACAGGAGCGAATACCTCGGCGGCGAGGTACTCGAGGACGGCGGCGAGGTAGACGGGAGCGCCGGCGCCGACGCGCTCGGCGTACTTGCCGGCCTTGAGGAACCTGGCGATCCTCCCGACGGGGAACTGCAGCCCGGCCTTGGAGCTCCTCGACGTCGCCTTCTTCGCGGCCCCGGCGCCGATCGCCTTCCCGCGTCCCGCCATCCTATACCCCACCCACCGACGAGAGAAGAAACCGGCTGCGCGAGCGAGATCGACGCGGCGGCGGAGGCGGAGGAAGCGCGCGGCGAGGCGAGGGGAGGCGGCGGATGAGACGATGTTAGTGGTCGGGGGCGAGAGAGAGATATATATATAGGGTTGGTTTTGGGTGGTGGGTGCGGGTGGCTAGCCAATGGGAGGCGATCACGCGGATCGTGGACGTGGGCCGTCGGATGCGATGGGACGGACGGCGGAGGATGCGCGTCGGGGATTTCGGTGGATCCGGAAGCGGCGGGAAGACGGGCGGAGTTTTCGGTTTGGGAGGGAGGGAGGGAGGTGCGCGCGAAGACGGAGACGGCGGATCGGTGACGTGGCTCTCTGGTTTTCGTGTCGGACCCACTGGTCGATCTCTCGTCGTGGTTCGAGTTTTGTATGCTGTGGCAAATTGGCAAATAGGGAGACAGGGAGGGACGTGAAGGAGAGTATGCAACGGCGCAAACGCGTAGTAGAAAGCAATGAGGGAGTAGCTATTTTCGGCGTAGATTTATTTTTTTTCACGTACCGTTTGTCTTAAATAAGTACAACTATTATCCATTTAATTTAATAATTTCATCTATTTTTTTCTTTTTTCAACATATTATATAACCCCATGCTACAGAGTAGTCCAACAAGGTTGTATAATTCAGTGTATAAAGTGGAGATACAAAGTCTAGAGGTGAGACTCTCTTGTCTTATTCAATCCATTCACCAAGTGTACAAATGACTGGCCCCTCCTCTTTTTATATAATGCATTCGCAAATATGCAAGGTTCGGTGATGGGTCCAATTAGTGTATTTAGACTAGGCCTTCATGGACTCCCCCTTGACACTCACCGTGTGATGTCTATGCCCTATTAAAGCTTCAAAAAAACCCAGTCGGATAAATTGGAGAAATAGTACATAGCGTACGCATATACTCCCTCCGTACTCGTAAAGGAAGTCGTTTAGTACAATGTTTAAGTCAAACCTTAAGAATATAAATCATGAATAACTCTCAAGTTATTGAGTTTGAAAATGTAAAAATTATATCGATAGATTTATCTTGAAAAATACCTTCATAAAAGTATACATATATCACTTTTCAATAAATATTTTTATAGAAACAAGAAGTCAAAGTTGTGTTCTATACACCATGTCGCTGTCTAAAACGATTTCCTTTACGAGTACGAAGGGAGTATGTCGCACGAATTGCCTCATTAAAACCCTTAATAAGAAACTAGAGGAAAACTTGTCACACCCTAAAAATCCTAAATATATAAATTGTTGTTTAATTGGAATTATTAGAATTTATTTTAAAAAGCCTAGAAGAGAAGATCTAGTTTTAATTAATAAATTCCAATATAAAATGAGGCCAGATAAAATTTCATTAAATACTTTGCTTAATTCTATAATTCCTAGATTTTTCTGGGATTTATTTGAGCTAAGGAAGTATTTTTAATAAATGGAATTGCATTTCATGAATAATTTAAATTGAAAAAGGTTTTTAAAAGTCTTTTGGCTTTGGGCCGAAAGTCGGCCCAAAACCTCTCTCTCTCCCTCGGCCCAGTCGGCCCAATCCGGCAGCAGCCGCCCGCGCGCGCGTCCGCCCGCTGACAGGTGGGGCCCACCTGTCAGTCTTCGTCTTCCTCGCGCCGCTGCCGCCGCCCGAGCCCTATCGCCGCGCCGCCGTCATCTCCTTCCAAATTCGGCCACGCCTTTCCGTTTCCGGTGAAATCAATAGAGGGGAAATGATCTTCGGGATCTCTACCTTTCCTCTTTTGGAATCGTCGGCTAAAATCGTTTGGAAATCCGTGGATTCGATCTCGAATCGGATTCGTCTCTCTCCCCGAACCCTAGACCTTCCTTCGCCGTCGCCGGTCACCGTGGGCCTCCAACGCTGCCTCCTAGCCCCTATAAAAGGACCCCCAAGCCCGTCGCTACCCGCCGCCACCCTCGCCTTCGCCTCTCGTCGCCGGTAGAGCCCTAGCATCGTGTAGCCTAGCGCCGCCGTCGCCGCCGCAGCTCCAGCCGTGCGCCGCCGTCGCTCCGGTCGTCGTCGCTGCTCGAGGAGGTCGCCGTCGTGGTCACCAAGCCGTCGCCGATCTCGTCCACCCCTTCGCCGTCGCCGTAGGTCGCCGGAGCACCGCCGTCGTTGTCAAGCCGAAGGTTGCCGCCGCTTCTTCCTCGACGCCGTCGCCGTCCGTTGATCTTCCGCCGTTGTTTTGGTCACCGGTAAGTTCGCCACGTTGCCCTCTACGAGTTGGTGTCCTCCGTTCGCGTCGTCGCGCCGTTGTTCGCCGGCGAGCTTGCCGCCCGAGCCGCCGCCGGTGATGACGTCATTGCCGACGTCATCGTTGCCGTCCGTCGTAGACCGGTCGTAGACCGTTAGATCTTGGCCGTTCGTTGTGGATAGGATCGATCTCGGCCGTTCGTTTCCGTGAGCTGCCGCCGTGCACTCGGTCCACCGCGAACCCTACTCGCTGACGCAATAATTCCCTTTTCCTTTTTAAAAATAATTCATTATTGCGTCATAATTCAATTAAAATCCATATAAGTGTTTTAATCCGATTTAATCTTTAAAAATTCATAACTAATTCATCTTAGCTCGGATTTAGTTGGTTCAAGTCTCTAAATTTTTCTAAAATTGAGATCTACATGTTGAAAATATCCACATGTACTGTTCATGCTGGTTTGTGTTCTGTTTTGGTGATTTTGCTCTTTTCTGTTTAGGTTCCGACGTTTTCGGAGAGTCTGAGTTTGCAGGAGAGGATTTTGAAGAGTTCCAAGGCCAGTAAGGCAAGTCACACAGATCCCAAACAACCCTTTGAGCATGTTGATCACGTTTAAAGCTATTGTTTCTATTCAACTATTGCATTTATTTTCAAATGTCATTGGGTGGAATTAACCTATTGTTTGTTATAGCCCTTTTGTTCTTGATTACTTTATTCCTTGATACCTTGGGTTATTATAATTTGACTAGTTGGGCTATATATAGTGGTTCAGCTAGATATTAGATATGATTGCTTAGCCATGCTTAGAAACATTAGCACACTATTGGGATAACTTATGACTCACTATTACTTAATGATGGCTTAATGATAGTTCACGATGGTCAATCGTGATTGGTTAATTAATTACTTGCCAACTAAAACTTGATAATGGTGGGTTGTGAGCACATGGTTTTGAGAGTCGTGCTCATGACAATTAAGAACCGGTTCACGAGTTTTGGTTGTGAAACATTAACCGTGCCAACCACAAGCCAGCGTGGGCAACGGCTTTACCTTTTGTATAGCATGGTTCATTGCGGAGCACCAGACTGAGAAGTGGCGGAGATAAGCCCACGGGGGTCGTTGGGGAGTCTATGCCTTGTTTATAAAGGGGTGATTATGATCCAGGAACGGTGCACTGCTTTGAATTGTGTTGTGCGAGGGGTACTGTCACAGCTCCTTTCCAAGGTACCGTGGTGGTATTGAGGCACATGGTGACATGTCGTGGGGCTGTGTCTTGTGGGTACAGTGGTACACCTCTGGCCAGAGTAAAACTATTCGAATAGCCGTGCCCGCGGTTAAGGGCGGGTCTAACAATGTCTTTCGTGATTAGTCTCACACTTCTCATCATAATAAAAGATGCTATAACTGGTAATAATTTGATTAGCTCCTGGTTTGGAATGGTATATTCCTGGTTTGGAGATAGAACTGTGCAGCCGGGATGGTTGTTCAGAATGGTTGGGCCTATGCAACAGGGTATGTTGTATAGCATTGGATTAATATTGTTTAATTATTACTTAACTGTTTTATTAAATTCTGAAATGTTTATTAAATGCTGTTTATGCAAATGAAACCCTCCTATGCCATCCTTTGTTATCCTGTGCACTTGCATATTTGCTGCGTGGCTTGCTGAGTATGTCATATACTCACCTTGCAATCATTCATCAGAGGAGGAGTTCTACAGTGATGCTGATGGTGTGGAGGATTAGGTGTAGCCCTAGTCAAGCTGCCTGTGGAGTGGAGTCGTCTGCGTCGTTTATCTTATTTTTTCCGCTGCTTAGATCTTTATTGATTGAGAGGAACTATCTACCTCTGTAATGACATTTTATTCGCTTATTAATTAGAGTGATAATTGTACTCTATTATCAATTTGTTATTGTGTGCCTCGGCTGATTCCTGGACGAGGGTTCACACACATGTAAGCGTTTGGAATTTTGGATAGAAATTCCGGGCGTGACAAAACTTATCCAAGAGAAAAAGAGTACAATCTATCCAAATTATTGCTTTGATTTTTGTAATTGGTTTTGGGTACTTGATTATTCAGATCAAGCTTTTGTTAATAGACATGCAAAATATCCCCCTAAATTTTGCATCTCTTTTAAGTGTGAACCATCAAAACTCGTTGCGTGTATCATTTTTTTCAGACATAGTGCGAGTGATGTTCCAATGGTCAAATCTTGCATGTCTATGACTTGTAGAGTTTGTATAGTCTATCAGTGCTGATGCGACACACATATCATTATCTTCTTAATAATGATTTTGGGGTTTGGACAAAGTTAGAACCATGTTACTTGCTAGAAATGGCGAACTATGTCCATGGAACTTATGTATTTTCATATTCTAACATAGTATGGTTCACTCTTCACATGTTGTAGGCTTACAGGCCTAAGCAACATAGGTTTCTCCCAATTTTATCTTAAACTCGTTCCAAAAGAGTGAGCTTTTATTTTTTATATGATGATATTCGGATCATCATCTTGGTTTGGGGCTTTTAATACTTGTATGCGAGTGCTCAATCCAAAAATATCTTTAGCCATTCATTATCAACTATAGGTCAACTTGCAGGTTGATTTTCAACCATAGGTCAATGCCAATGAGTTTCTGTTGTATGAAGAGAATATTGCCCATAATAGGTTTCATTACCAATTTCCGGTACCTAGTGCTTTTTCTCATTGTGCAGGTGCCAATATGTGTGATCTTGCTAGATTGGTTTGGGAAGAGCGTAGTGTCAAATAGACACAATTGCAGCTATTTCATAAGCGCATTATGTATCGGATGATCCTTTCAAAGGACTAAATATGTATGTGAGTATTACCGTTTCTTTTTCGAGCATACCTTTCAAGATATGTGGGAATTAATGTAATGCTCAGTTTGATGCACATCGAAGGTTCGGTGGTATGCGTGACCAAAGCAACTACATGGTATACAACCGATGCAATTATGGCGCATGGTCGGAGCGACCACAAGGTATACAACCGATGCAATTATGGCGCATGGTCGGAGTAGCATGGCGCGTTGCTAGCGCAGCATGATTCGTCCAGTGCTCGGTATAGCGGGTTTGCGAGTTAGTGCATAGTACGACATCTAGTGTGCGACGCTAGTAGCGGCCCTTGCACGCGTCATGGTTCATGCCGATGCATGGCACAAGTTTGGCGCGAGGCGCTCAGACAGTGCGCGTGACAAATATGCCATTGTTGTGTTCCAATAGACGATGTGAGATTGTTTGTACTATATTCATTTTTAAGATTCTAAATTTCAAGAGAAGTTGGCTATGAAATAGTCTACTTTAGCCTAGATTTCTTAGTGTGGACATTAATCTCACATGCTTTGGTGGTGAGTATGCTTTTCTCATCTTCCAATTCCTACATGGGAACTTTTGTGCGAGAGTTTTGCCATTCTCAAGCTATATCCTTCATAATCATTGTGTGCGACTGTGAAGTCTTTGTATCGACTGGACTTTGTCGTGTGTCTCTTGAGATTATACTTTGTGGTGCTTCTATCCACAATGTTTCTCTTCACTTTAAGCTATGCATATTATCTATGTAAATAAATTAAAACATTATTATTTCCAGACAAGGAGTAAAACTTCATCATAGAGCAAAATGAAAGATAATATTGGATTGAGAAAAATGGCCGATTGGCCAAAACCCTAGCCCTAAAACCCATTTCCTTTCTTCCAATCCCCTTTCTTCTACTCCTAATGGCGACAACAGCGGCGAATCGGGTGAGGCATCGGAGTGCCGGCGATGTGCGAGGCGGTGGTTGTGGTGCCCAGCAGCGTGCAACGAAGGGGTCGTGGCCGACCGAGTTACCCGGTGCTCGTGCAACACACTGGTGCCGTAGGAGCCCTAGTCAAATATCGTGACGGTGAGTGCGTAGCAAGGCTAATGCTAGTGCAACAGTGCAATCTCGATTGTCCTCCACGTGCGGCAAAACATGACGGTGAGTCTCAACCTTGCATGGCCCATGAGAGTAGGCGCAAGGCCGATCCATGACAACGGCGGGTTGCGTGCACAGCGGTGCTCGCGTTATGATTCGAGGAATCGGTAAGACATCAATCTTATCCTCTTAGGGATTTGCAGGGATTGTGGGGAATTTTTGGGTTCTAATTTGGGGATTTTCTTGAATTAGCATTTGTGAAAATTAGAGATTTTGGTTATCCGCTGCAATTCTCCTCCTAATTTCTACCCAAGCAGTAATCGATCTTAAAATGCAGACACAAATTTAATTAGTCATGGGCATCAAGAAATTAAAACCTAATCGAACCTAACTAATCATAATCTGATGATAATTAAGGACTAACTAACATAAATCGAAACCAAATTTTGCATCAAACCGACACTCAATAGATAGAGGCTTAGATGCATCTTATGGCTTCTAAATGGGATGATGGGATCATGAGGCTAAATCATAAGTGCTTAGCCTAACATGATCACCATAATACAGAAACTTAGGGTGACTGACCATTATTGGAAGCCATGGATGCCGTAGTTGTCCTGAGGTTGCCGATGGCCGGAGTGGATGTAGAGATAGCAGTTCCTCGAACCGCTCCGGTGTTCGGTGTAGAGAAAGTAGTCGTAGCAGCGGGGTAGGTAAGGTCACCGGCTTGATCTGTAGGGATTGCCGGCGATCAATTGCAAGATGGCGACGTCCTTCGGGGTGCCACCTGCACTGGCATGGTACCGCCGTTTGATGACCCTTCAGCACTTAGTAAAGGATCGAGATTAGTTAGTGTTTATCGAGAACGAGATGATCGTGTAGCGATCGTCACCATGACACGACGCTGGCGTTCCCTTTTTATATGGCGCTGTGGGTATCGGGGGTAATCCCAAAAGGAATGTTCATGCATGACCAATCACGTTAATGCGTTATTATGGAAATAACTATGAATTAATCGCGTTAATCTCGCATGGGTAATGGGTGGAAAAGCAACGTGTGTGATTGTCTCCCGGTTTCCATACTGAGAGTCAATTTTCCCAACAATCACCTCGTCTCGACCGTTTTCTAACCACGCTCTATTTCTTTTCCTACCTTTTTTCGTATTTTTTATTGGAATGCACTGACACTTTGCTTGTAAATAATAAAGGCGGTTAGCGTACTAGTTTGGTGTATTTTGCTATATCATTGCACATGGAAAGGGATCCTCTGACTTAACTGCTGTGCAGTTGAGTCACTGACATGTGGGCCATAGCAAAGTGGGACCCATATGCCAGTGACTCAACTGCATGTGCAGTTAAGTCAAAGGATCTGCTTCCCATTGCACATACACACTAACACATGGGGAATATACATTGTTGAGGAAGGCACGAGCGCTCGATAGCTTTGCCTCATAAAAAATAATTGACTCTTTGTGCTCACACATACGTGGCTTCGTTTTGTAGTAGAAACGAATGACATGTCTAGCGAGTGCATCGGATTGCCCAGTGCATGCATTAGAGTGGTATAAAATTTGGTATGGTTATGTGCGACTTATCTGGTTCAGATACGAGTTGTGGAGACCGTGACGGTGTTCTGATCACATACCCCGATATCTCTGTATTTCATCATCATTTATAGTCTATTTCACTCGTCGGCGTGCACTGGTAATCAGGAGATCAGGTCTACCTAACTATCGCTTTTAAAGTCCTAGAAGGGTGAATGGTGAATGAGATTTTTGGGAAGCACTACGCATGATTTCTCACTGTCCATTCACCACGGCCCATGTTGCTCACCCGTGGCGTATCGTCCAACATCCTATACAGTGAGCTGTCCACGTGATACCTGGTGCGCCTATTAGGGTGTATTTTGTTGGAGGAATATCCCTAGATGGGAGATGACGATTCAGTTTTTGAGTGTGTTTGGTTGGTGGACAAGGGTGGATAGGGCGACCTGAAAAGGAAATATTCCACGAAGATGCTAGATAAGTGTATCGGCTGGATGAGGATATCCACCTTTGCTAATCTTGATCATTAGTAATTGATTAACAATAATTAATGTATTGTGTTGTTAATTAGTAATTAACTTATCAAAATTAGTGTTGATTAGATATAATTAGTTTATTTTGTTGTTAATTAGTATAAAGAATGGCTATAGTCATGATAATTAACATATTTTACTATTAATTAATATGTTATTGTTTTTCATTCAATCCATTCTCATTCTCATGTACCTAACAAAAAAAACTGGATTGTGATATCCACCCAACCAAATAAAAAATTAGACCCCACCATATCTGATGTCTATATCCTATCCAACCTTCACCACGAACCAAACACGTCCTTAATGGAGTCCAGAGATCATCCAGAACAGAACCACCAGTACGCATTTATTATATTAAGTTCCACATTTTTTTAATCAGTTTGTCTTTGTTTAACGCCAAGATTTATTGATGACATAAATTAAATCTCTATATACATGCTTATACTTTCAGCAAGAACTATCTTTGGCATCCAATGCATTAGCTCACGCTCGGCTCGCCGGCTAGCTAGGAATGCAGCTAGCAGCCGCAGCGCTGCTGGACGAGGGTGCACTTGCCGGCAGGGTCGCAGTTGAAGGTGGAGCTGCAGCTAGTGAGCTGGCAGTTGCTCGGGTTCGCCTTCGAGCAGCACCGGCACTGCAGGCACAACGGCGCCGCCAACGTCCCTACTACGCCGCTGCCGCCGCCGCCGGCGATGGCCACCACCACCGGCTTCGCCGTCTTCATCGGCACCATGTCATCCAGCTGATCCAACGCCCATGCTAGTTAATTGATCGATATACATGCATACACACAACATAGTCAGTTAAATGTCATCCGATCCGTCAGAAAATACAGTACAAGTTCATAGAAGAAACCAGATTGAGCTTAGAATACCTCGGGACTGCACGGCGACGACGATGAGGAGGACGGCGACCAAACTCGAGAGAGGGGAGGTCATCCTCCTGCGGCAGTTCGCCATGGCTGTTTCGGTCGATCCCTATATATACCACGCTGTTGAATGATAACAACTTGGGAATGCCAACGCTTGAGGAGATCGAATGGCGAGGGACGACGAGATGTGCTCGTTTATATATAGCGACGACATGTTGCATGCCGAGGGAACAATATAATTCCTAACGTCCATATGCATACATTTAGAGGGCTGTAAATCTATCTATCTATCTATCTATCTATCTATCTATCTATCTATCTATCTATCTATCTATCTATCTATCTATACCTCTCTCTCTATATATATATATATATATATAACATATTTAACTAAAAACTTTTTATATGTAATAATAATAACAATAACAATAATATATATATATATATATATATATTAATTATACACTTTTCAGGAGCTTTAATAATAATAATTATTATTATTGTTATTATTATTACATATAAAAAGTTTTTAGTTAAATATGTTGGTTATTTATAGCGGCTTAGGATAAAAAAGATTTCATTTCATTTATAACTTTCAAATTATTAATTTTAGAATTAAATTAATAGGGAGCTATTAATTTATGAAACTCATATTTATGAATTCAAAATTATTTACGACCTATAGGGTTTAGGTTGAAAACAAGACTCAATGCTATCAATTACAATTTGCAATTATCAGTTTAGAATTTTAAATCAAATTAATTTTATATTATAAATCATTTTGATCTTTCTTCTAGTCGAACTTATTTATGTTTAATCAAGATTATAAATACTTCGTATATCTATTAATTCTAAGTTCTAGAAAAAACAAATCATGATAGTCCTTAGTTTTGCCTATCCTTACCTTGCCTCTCTCCCCTCTCTGTTGCGATGCGGTGGTGGATCGGGTGAGGGAGGCGGTTGCTGATCCGACTTGTTGTGTCACGTCCTGTTCTTTAAATTTTTAAATTTGCCTAATTTTAGAAATTCAAATTCGTGTTTATTCATGTAAAATAGCTTAAAGAAAACTTCATAAAAATGGCCTAATTACTAAATAAATTAATTAATGCCGTGCTAGTATTCTTTCTTTTGTTAATTGGAGTTATTTGACTAAAATTTCACATTCGAGAACAATTACTCAACGATTCCAAATCCTCCAAAATTTGAAATTTCCAGAGAAATCCTGTTCCTCATCTTTCCTTCCTGCTTCCTCCCAATACGTCCTGTTCTTCTGTTGTTCTTTCATTCTCCTCCCCCCTCCCCCCCCCCCCGACACACACATGTTAATTCTATCGGTTAGGCTGATTTGATGGGGCCTCACCGAAATGCTGAAATTTCGAAAATTTCGGTCCGAAATTTTCAAAATTTTGAACAAAATTTAGTTGAATTTGAACAAATATTACCAAAATTTATGAAAAAATTTAAAATTTCGGCCGAAGTAATATCGTATCGGAGGGGGTCCGAACTTTCCAACCCTGGACACACACATACGAAACATTTCTATTTCGGACCAGCTATTCTTTTATTTCCCATCACTAATGTCTTCCTCTCCCCGTCAATTTCACATTTTCACTCCTTCAACATCAAAAATTGAATCATAATAATCACCCAAGTCCGTTTTCAAATTCAAAGCCACCATGCGACCCACCTTGACGCACGCTGCCGCCTGCCACAAACCAAAGCACCACGTTGTTTCTTTTCGTCCTCAAGTTACGTCGGTTTCTGCTTTGTCATGAAGTTCCTTGCATCAATCCCCACTAATCTCTCTTCCTCTCCCTCATAATTCTCTCTCTTCAAATACCAGATCGAAACTGAATAAACTTGATGAGCTTTTATCCGTTTTTCCAATTCCTATGAGGCTATGACCCCTCCTCTTTCGGCTGTCCACCTCCCTCGCCATGTATAAATACCGGTGCTGTCGCTCTTTTGTTTCCTTTCACGTAGGTTGGTGAGTAGGGGTGTAAGTGGGTAAACCGTGAACCCGCTTATATATCAAAATAAACTGGTTCGTGTTTTATTTGATCGTAAGTGTGTTTCGCAGGTTAGCTACTTACACCCTTATAGATCGGTGAGCACCAACGCTAGTCTGCCATTGCCGTTCACTGGTCTAGTCCACATTGTGTCGTCTTCTCGTTGGGAGCTCCCTCAACTGCGGGTGAGTGGTGCCCTCAGCGTCGTCATTGGGTGGCGAGCTTCACCGCATGATCGCCATTGCATTTCTTGCGCCACCACCATCTACGAGAGCTCGTGCTCCTTTGCCGTCTTCTCAATCCTTCCCTTCGCTAGGAGACGTCGTTGTTGCCATTTCTTGGCAGCAGAACACCTGTCTATACTATGTCCTACACCCAGGGATATTTTACTTCCCTTGGGTTGCTTTAGCAGCTCTAGGGAACAGTTTAAAACTCTAGGGGATCGATCCATGGAATTCTCGTATAGACATAGGACCAATTTACCATAAACCCCACTGGGTTTTTGGTAGTAGTGTAGTAGGAATCAAATCTAACCATCCATTGCTATGGGTTTGCTATCGTTTGTTTAATGCCAAGATTTATTGATGAGATGAATCAAATCTATACAAGCTTATACTTTCAACACGAACTATCCATGGGTAACCATGCATCAGTTCATGCATCAGCATCAGTAGCTAGGCTTGCAGCTAGCAGCCGCAGCGCTGCTGAACGAGGGTACACTTGCCGGCGGGGTCGCAGTTGAAGGTGGAGCTACAGCTAGTGAGCTCGCAGTTGCTCGGGTTCGTCTTCGAGCAGCACCGGCACTGCAGGCACAACGGCGCCGCCAACGTCCCTACTACGCCGCCGCCACCGATGGCCACCACCACCGGCTTCGCCGGCTTCGTCGGCACCATGTCGTCCGCCACCTGGGCATCCAGCGCCCATGCTAGTTGATTGATACACGCACACACACCGTGGTAAATTAAATGTGTAATCCGTCAAGAATTACATTACAAGTTCAGAGATGAATCCAGATCGAGCTTAGAATATATACCTTGGGATTGCACGGCGACGACGATGAGGAGGAGGACGGGGGACGAAGCTCGAGAGAGGGGAGGTCATGCTCCTGCAGTAGTTCGCCATTGCTGATTCGATGGATATTACGCTGTTGAATGATGTAAATTTGGAAATGGGAATGGTTGAGGAGACCGAGTGGCGAGTGACGACGAGATATACTCGTTTATATAAGCGAGGAGGCGTTTGCATGCCAAGGCAAGAATTCATTTCCTGCTAACGTTGATATGCATAAATTTAGAGGGGCGTTTAATAGATTAATTCTATCCTAATTTGAGCAAAACGCTACTTCATCGAATTCATGAAGCTCTGCGAAATGTATCGATTGGAGCTCATTGTAGATAGACGATTTTCAAATGGACCATCAAAGCTCTGCTAAATGTATAGATTCCGTGCCTAAGTGCTTATCTCGAACAGTTTCCATACCAGCTTTCTTCTTGTTCTGATCACTTCTCTCTTTGGAGATATGCAATTAGTTCCTTCCATATTGCAAAACCTTATCCATTTCTTTAGAGGAAGAAACTTACTTTCTTGACGATTCAAAACGAGCTAGATGGAGGTGGGGGCTAATCGAAGCCCTTAATTACAACTTGGGCCTAAGTTGTCAAACATAGGGACATATTGAAGGGAAAAGAATCCATTTTGTTTCCCCCAACCATAGGCCCGGCTTGTTCACATCTCTTACCCGCAAAACCAGATAGAAAGCCTCGCTCGCCTATCAATACTGGATTGTTTTGTCTTATCGAGCAGTTTGCATGTATGTTTCGTCCTACAAAGTGCCCACATGCATGGCACATTGACTTGATTTTTGACCGATGTGACGACTACATGGCAGTTCTAAGGAAAAAGTAAAAAATATATAGCTAGACCCATGTAAGGCCCATATGTCAGTGACCACCATCTGTCTCCCATTCCCCCCTCTCCTATTAATTACTGGACTAATGCGGTGGTGAATTGAGGAAGGGAGGAGGTTGCTCGTCCAAGGGTTGTGTCACATCCCTTTTTCAAATTTGCCTAATTTTGAAAATTCACATTCATATTTATTCGCTTAAATTTTTTTAATGGAAACTTCATAAATGAAATATGGTTTAATTTGACTAAATCAATCCTCCTCTATCTTTTCTCCTAATAAATCTCCAAAAATCTCAAAGGGAATCCCACTGATTTTGTCGCTGTTCCATCTTGGTCAACTCGAGATAAACCCTAGTTTCTTCGCTGCCTCTAGCTATCAAATCCCCACCGGTCACTTCCTCCTTGGCTAATAAATAGCATCCCCTTGTCCGAGCTCGTCCCATACCCCAGCCGCCTTCCCGCATGCTCATTCTCTCTCCTCCACCATCGGCGCCGCTCCGGCCGAGCAGTATCATTGCCCCGGTAATCGTCAGTCAATGCCACCTCCTCCTTCGGCACTGCAGCAGCCGTGCGACCGGCCTCCACTTCCCGGAAGACTAAGACCACCGAAAGTTCCAAGTGCTCCTACTGCCCGTCGTCTCTAGCCGAGCTGCGCCGATGATCCCCGCCGAAGCCGCCATCGGCATCTGAAGGACACAGGGAAACTCGGTCACCACCTCTTCTTTCTCAAGTCTTGTTAGAGCACTGTCATTGTCGTTGACCCTTGAAGCCCGTCGCTGGCCACCGTTCATCCTCATCAGTGGTTGCCAAAGTGTTGTTAAGTGTCGCCTCACCATTCCTTGTCCATTGGTGTCCTCAGTGTCTCGCTCCTTTGTTCGCCGTGTGCCGCTGCTCCTGGGTCTGCCTTTGTTGATCCAACATGGTTGCCACATCAGCATTTTATCAGCTAATCCGTCCTCTGTGGCTGCCACCCAGGCTCCACGTGGCACCTCTCTGCATCACTAGATCAGAATTGATCTGAATAGTCAGATTATTTCGGTCAACAGTGGCCAATTTATCTTAGGCATCCATCTCTATGGACCATAGTGGACCTCCTCTATGGACTAGATCCATGGTAGACCCATTGCATCCTCTCTATGACATGCGGGTCCCTCTTGTCAGTGACCTTAGCCTATCCTCTCTATATGGCATGCAATAAACAGTTTAATTGTTTTCTATCTCTTCTTCTTCTTCTTCTTCTTCACAAACATGATACATTCCTCATTCCTC